ACCCGTTAGCACTGCACCTGAGGCTGACGCGTCGGGCCGAACACCACTAGCTATACATTTGCTTAGTAAGGGTGGCTGGAGGCCGGACAAAGTACATGTACGTATACCACTCGGTACCGCGGTACCCCTCATGCGCACCGTCTCGCACACACTGTCTCGGCGCCCGCACCATCTCGCCCAGTGCTCTGTCTCGCCCGTGCCCTCTCTCACCCACGCCCTCTTGCCCGCACCGTCCCCCTCGCCCCGTCTCCCTCGCCCGCGCCGTCTCTCGCCTGCATTCGCCATCTCTCGCTCACGCTGTCTTTCGCTCGCGCTGTCTCTCGCCCGCGCCCTCTCTCGCCTGCACCCTCTCGCCCACGCCGTCTCTTGTGCACCGTCTCCCTCACCCACGCCGTCTCCCTCGCCGTTTCTCAGCGCCCCAGTGGGCGGCAAGGACGCGTGGTGCGCATCGAGTGATGCGCGCCACGCGTCCTTCGCCGTCCTTGCTCTCCTCCACCGCCTGCTCCCTGCTCTGCCTCACCGTCTGTCCAAGCAAACGATAGCGACTACACAGTCGTCTGTCGTCTGCTGTTGGACTGCAGTGTCACTTGGTGACACTGTTCTCCCCTCCCCCTCCTGCCCTCGACCTCGACCTCCACCTTGGTCCTCCATGCCGTCCTTCACCCACCTTACCGGCCTCCCTCACAACGTCGAGAGCGCACGAGGACGTCCATCCGGACGTCACCAGTATGGAGATCGGAATATGGGGGCCGCGGCGATGTACCGCGGCCCCTGTTTTGGTGAGTCCTCCGCCCTGCCCTGCCGTATTCCCAACGCCCACCCGTCCTCCCTGCTGCCCAGTCGACAACTACAACAGGCCAAGGACGTCCTCCCTCCTCCTCTCGGCCCTCCAAGTCGCCCTCCTCCTCTGCGCCACTCTCCTCTGCGCATGTTGTCCGCCTGCGCCACCTCCCTCTGCGTCGCCCGCCTCTGCATCGCCAAGCTCCTCCTCGTCCCTCCTCGTCCTCCTCCGCTCGTGCTGCCTGCGCACACCGCTCGCGTACGCCGCCCTGCTTCACACCACCCTCCTCTCTTGCGCCGCGCTCCTCTGCCCGTCACCCGCCTCCTCCGCCTCCGTCCACGTTGCCCGCCTCCGCGCCGCGCTCCTCCAAACCGCGCTCCTCCGCCCGCCTTGCCCTTCTCCGCGCTGGCCTCCACCCTCCTCGCCCGTCCTGCTCCTCCTCGCCCTGCTCCGCCTACGCTTCTTGCCCCTTTCGCACCGCCCATCTGCTTACTGCCGCCCGCCCCCGCATTGCCCGCCTCGCCGTTGCCCTTCTCCGCGCATGTTGCCCGCCTCTGCACTGCCCTCCTCCGCACTGTCTTCCCCCGCGTCCGCCTCGCCTGCGTCCGCGTTGCCCTCCTCCGCCTCGTCCAGCTCCCCCCGCCTCATCCAGCTCCCCCCGCCTCACCTCCTCCGCCTCGTCCCGGCCCTGCGCCTCCTCCCTCGAGCCCTCCTCCATCTCTGCCTCGCCTGCATCCGCGTCACCTACCTCCGCCCGCGCTGCCCTCCCCTGCCTCGCCCGCCTCGGCACCGCCCTCTGCCTCCCTCCATCTGTCCCCTCCTGTAGTAGTGTACAATAAATATAATAATGCACAGCGTCTCTCGCCTGTGCCGTCTCCCTTCTCCCATGCGCCATCTCCCTCGCCCGCACCGTCTCTGTCCCGCGCCTTCTCGTCTGCGCCTTCTCGCCCATACTGGAGTCTCACCCACGCCATCTCTCTCGTGCCATCTCCTGCGCGTCACCGTCTTGGTCTCGCGCGTGCCGTCTCATGCGCCTCATCTCGCACATGCCGTTTCGCGCGTGCGGTATCGCATGCATGCTCTTGCGTGCAATACCTCACTGGTGACTCGTCCCAGGCCTGTTCACCCGCGGGTGTCCGCCGCGGGTGCACACCCGTGAGATACCCGTCCGACCCGTGTGTATGCTGACCCTCGGGTCTACGGGTGCGGGTGTGCGCGGGTACGGGTGCGGGTCGAATCAAAATCACCCGAGGGTCACCCGTGGTGAACCCTATGCACATCGCTGTTTGGACTCGACCCGATATTGCAAAGGCTGTCCAGAACGTCGCTCAGTTCATGGCGAACCCGAATCGCTCACACTACCTCGCTGTCAAGCGTGTCTTCCAGTACCTCAAGAAGACCCGCGATTTCGTCCTCACTGTGGGCGGCGAAGGTCCGATCGACCCTGTAGCCTGGTGCGATGCTGACTACGCAAACACGGCCAAGATGAAGTCCACGTCCGGCCACTGTGTCTTCGTCGGCCAGGGTGTCGTCTCTTGGTCCGCACGGAAGCAGACCGTTGTCGCTGCCTCTACAACCAAGGCCGAGTTCTACTCAGCCGCGAACTGTGGACGCGACGTCCTCTGGCTCCGCTCAGTCTACCAGGAGCTTCGCCTCATGCCGACGAACCCTCGACCTCCACCGACCACGCAGAACATGGATAGCACAGGCGCGATCGGATACATCAACCAGCCTGATGCTGTGTCGAACCGCACCAAGCACATCAACGTCGCGCTACACTGGGTTCACGAAGCGGTCCAGCGCAAGCACTTTGTCGTGAAGCATGTGCGCGGTGAGGACAATGTCGCCGACATCTTCACAAAGGTGCTCGCTCCGGTTACACACCTCCGTTTCGCAGCTCAATTGGGACTCTCCTCACCTACGTCCGTCTCTTCTCGTTGAGGGGGAGTGTTAGAATGGTGTTTACAACTCGATTAGATGGACTATTACTTACTCTTACTTACTATTCATACTCCGCTCGGCCGCGCCCGCGCTCTTGTCTATCTCGCGCTGGCGCTTGCGCTTCTCTCCTCAGTCGTCTCTCCATTCCGACTGAGGTATGTCTCCTACGGTACTCTGTCTACGACACATGTACTTACGTCGCCCATAGCACTCGCTCACTCTGCGTGCTATTAGGTATGATATAATTAGTCGTCTCTCCATTCCGACTGAGCACTCGCTCACTCTGCGTGCTATTATCCATTTCAACAAGAGCTCTACGTACGTTGACACTGCCGCCGTCTTAGTGCAGAATTTGTCATACGCAGACCATCTGGAAGAGGAAGTTCATGTTAGCGTTCGAGACGGGGACGGCAAGGCAAGAAGCGCACGGGACGACACCGTCCCCGCGCCCTTGGCATATGCCACACGCAGCGACTGTGGAGAATGCGACGGTATTGCATTCACAGAGGTCGGACTCGGCGGTAGATACAGGCCCTCCGTAAAGATCGTCGGGCGCGAGTGCTGGAACGAAAGACTCTGCGGTGCGCGTGAGATCCGCGATCCGAATCTATACGAATGAGCAAGCTGCGTACCGGGGAAGAAACAGGGAGACCATAGCCAGGCAGTAACCAGGCAGGGGCTCTGGCCCTTAGAATTGTTCATCTGTGACGGGAGGCGTCAGCTCTCGTCGCGCGCGCTGTTCGTGGAGGGAAGTACTTACCCAATCGAAATCACTGGAGCACGTCGCGTTGGTATGGACCTGCGCGCGGACGTGGCGCGACAGCGCTACGAGCGCATAGAGGGCTAGTACTTCGAATCCCATTCTATACAGAGGAAAAGAGTGGAGCAAAGGCGGGAAACAACAACAGAAGCGCGTGGCCGTCCGCCTTCCTACAGTTATATCATACGGCCGCATCGCTAGGCACGAAAAGCCTTGGCCCTGTCAGAATCAGTGTCAAGAAGCCAGACTCTGCACCGCGTGACAAACCTAGCGCACGATGCACGGCCTTACGGCATTTGAAGTTCGCAGAGATGGAAGCAGACGGTGAGAGAAATGGACGCTGATGAACAGCAGAGATGATGGGGCGCGATAACGCCCGTGAGAACCAGGAAAGGATTGAAGTGAAGTGAAGGGAAAGACTTGACTTTGAAATCTCGGTCAGGTTTTTGGAATACCTTCCAAGATATCGTCTTCGACTGAGCAAGTGAGGGCCGCAATGTCAGGCCGAAGTCCTGAAGGTTTGTTTTGTAAGCGCCGAAAGTCGGATCCTGCGCACAGTCGGAGGTACTTGACATGGCTCACTCGACTCCGTGCGCAGTCCTTCATCAATCATCTGCTCACCTCCGGCGGAAACATCTGCGGATCGTCCGGGTTCTATCGACCTGACAAGTCAGCGTTCTCTAGCGCGGGCCAGCTGAAAGTTCAAGTGAAACGCACATATCGGGTCGCTCTTCAGGCCTTGAGCGTCGGCAAGTGCGTACTCCCATCCGACTCTACCACCTTCATGATCCGCGATTCTGCTTCTGCCGTAGCTACGGCGGAAGCAGAGCGGAACGATCGCAACCCGATCATAGGTGATCATGGTACTGCCCGAGGGAGCGGTGCTCCTGATAATGCGCGTCGAGGGAGAGGTCGTAGTGCTGCCGCCGTAGGGAAGGGGATGCGGAGGTATGCTATTCCACTGATGCTGCGTGTGCTAGAGATACATGTACAGATAAATTCGACAAATGTATGAATGCATGCATGCGAGGAGTCGGAGATGGTCGCCATGGGCGGCGGAGACAGTGCACGGGCGGGCTTGCGTAACGTATGTGTGCGAGGTGCGGGGTGCGGGGTGCGAGGCGTATCGTGCGTGATGAGATGAGGGAGGAGGAGGAGGCGGGTGATCGTGGGCGGTGTGGGAAGAAGGGGGTGCGGACGAGGGACACAGCGACGGAAGCGGGCATATGAGAGAGGATCGAGGGGCGTGAGACTATACAGAGGGCGACAAGATGTGGGTGACGGACAGGGGGAAACGCGCCAGCGAACTCGGCCCAGAATGTGCGCAGGTCAGATGAAAGGAGAACGGGGGGCCGAAGTCGAAGGGCAAACAGGAGGCGAGGGCCAGGCTCCACCATGGGAACAACCAACAACCGCCCCTGCCCTCATGGGGAGTGCCGCAGGCGCCTGACCAGGCGCCCGCAGCGGCGCGCCCTCACGCGCAGGATACTCGAGAGGAACAGGACACCTCGCTCCCACCTATTCGATGACCTCGAACCGGCTCCGCTTCGCGTCGCGCCCGTCCGTACCGCCGTCGTCGAGCGCGCGCTTGCTGGACTCGGCCGCGCCCTCGAGCGAGCTCAGGCCGTTGAAGGACTCGCCGTTGACGAGGTTCTGGAGGATGAGCGTGTACTGCTCGTCGGTGAGACCCATGCCCGCGAGCGGGTTGATCTTCCCGTCCTCGTCATCCGCGCCGAGCGGGAAGCCTAGCGGGAGCGCCTGCTGCTGGATCGCGAGCGCGTGGTCGAAGGACGGGTCCGAGAGCGGCGGGACGCCGACCGAGCGGGGCACCCTCGAGAGCGTCTGGATGACCTTGAGGTGAGTGAGGTGCTTTTCGAGCACCTCCCAGAGGCCGTCCTTGGTGAACGGCTTCGGGAGGTGGTCGTTCATGCCGGAGGAGTAGTATTTCATGATCTCCGCTGGCTTCGAGTTCGAGGTCATGGAGATGATGGGCGTCATGTGGTCGAACTGGCGGATGAGCGACGTCGCGGACACGCCGTCGAGCTTGGGCATGACGATGTCCTGTACACAGCACATGCCGTGAGCAACCCGGAGCGGAGCCCTAAAAGACGCAGTGAAGACGCACCATGAGGACCAAGTCGTACTTCTCCAAGTTCATCTTGTTCACCGCCCCGACACCGTCGACCGCGACGTCGATCGTGCACCCAAAGATCTGCAGGAACTTGCTCGACACCTTCCGGCTCACCACATCGTCGTCCACCAGCAGCACCCGCGGCGGCACTGCCCACCCGGGCACGTACGTCGACCGCCGCACGCGTAGAGTCTGCGCGCTCGCCGGGCGCGCCATCCCGCCGCCGCTCCCGCTCGCCGCGCCCGCCGCGCCCGCCGCGGGGGCGTTGATGAACTGCGTCGGCGGCACGACGTCCGGCGCCGCGCCCGCCTGCGAGCTCTCGCCCTCCTCCTCCGGGTCCCCGCCCATGCCCTCGGGTGTGGGCAGCACCATCTCGGGCCGGCTGAGCACGCTCGGGTCGAAAGACCAGTTCCCGTTCGCGTCCTCGAGCGACGAGCGGGGGAGGAGGTGCCCGACCGTGAACACCTGCAGGCCCTCGTGGTCCATCGAGCCCGGGTCGACCGAGAGCCCGTACTGCGCCGCGTTCTCCATGAACATCCCCGGGTTGAACGCCGGGTCGAGCGGGCCCGCCTGCACCTGCGCAGCGGCGCTCGTCGACGCCTGCTGCTGTTGCTGCTCCTGCTCCTGCGCCTGCGCCTGAGCTTGAGCTTGAGCTTGAGCCTGCGCCTGCGCCTGAGCCTGAGCCTGGCCGCGCCGGGCGCGCGCCTTGCCTGCCGCCGTGGGCGTCTGAGGTGGAGCGGGAGCGGGAGCGTTCTGGGTGAGGTCGAGCGCGGGACCGGGCGTCGGCCGCATCCGCGAGAGCTCCTCGATGCGTGCGAGCGCGTCCTGTCTGCTCATCGGCCGAGCGGGCGCGTCGAGGTTGGGCATCAGGCTCGCCGCCGCCGCGAGGATCGTCGTCGCCCTCGAGCTTGGTCGTGCGGGGGCGCCCCCCGCCGCGGCCGCCGCGCCAGAGGGGTTTGCGCCCGCGCTGCTGGGGCCGGCGGCGGGGGCAGGGGCGGCGGCGTTCGAGCTCCCGCCTGCGCTAAAGGTCATGCCCGCGACCTCTGCGCGGCGCGAGATTTCGTTCATCTGGGCGAGGGACGCGCGCGCGATGTCGCCGTCGGGATAGGCGCCCATCATGCGCTGGGCCTCGATGGCCGGAAGGAAGGGGTTGGGGTCAGGCGCGTACGAGCCCGACGCGGGGTTCGAGATCTGTTCGGTCTTGAGCTTGCCTGGACCGGGCGGAGGGCGGGGCGCCGGCGGTAGTGGCGGGAGGTTCCAGAGCGATGGCCGGGAGGGGCGAGAGCGGGAGGAGGCCGAGGTCGGTCCATGGTCGCCAGCGACAGTGATTCGAGATTCGGGGGTGGAGGTGGTTTTCCGACATTGTCCAGCCGCGGTCGTGGGATGATTTGGACGGTAAATGCGAGGTGATTGCGAGAGCGCGAGAGAGCGATAGAGAGCATAAAAAAGAGAGCAGATAGTACACATTAGCTTGCTGCGAGCGATTAATTACTACGAAGAGACGGTCCCACCATTCTCCAACTGCAAGAAGTACTGAATCAAATTCTGCATGAGCCCGTCCTGCTGCGCCATGTTTCGCTGAAAGTTGACCATTTCAGAAAGCACGTTCTGATAGTTGGTCTCAAGCGAGCGGATGTGTGCTGCCATCTCGTCCTGGTCGCGCGTCATCCGCTCGATCTGAGCTTGCAGCGACTCAACGGTAACGGCGGATGATGGACTGGGCGAGTTCGCGCTTCGTCCTGTTGATTTCCGCGCCGCGGGGACTTTGCGCTTGATATTCTCAAGAGCGTCTCGCCGATCGGCGTGGAAGTCTGGATGTCGGAACGTCCAGCTCTGTAAAAAGGGGTATCAGCGTTAGGAGTTCGCAACCGTCAAGGGCTAAAGACATGGACATGCGCAGGCACGATGCGCGGTACGAGTCCTCGCGAGGCAAACTGACGGCGAGTAGGGAGTTGAGCCCTGCGCGGACATCTATCACACTGGTCTCACGGAAGAGCGACTTTCCGCAGTTCGACGAGCCTGTTCCCAGCGCGAGCCCACTCGAACCTCACGCGGAGCCTTCGAGCAACGGCATGCTCCGCGGCATCCGTTTCTAGCCCGCCGTTCACCACCACTCTGATATCGAGGGTGCAGCCGCGTCAACACACAACACCCTCTGTCACACCACGAGCATGCCGCGGTGGCGGCGCACGAAGCGCAAACCCACCCATGACATCCCGCCGCCGCCCACACCCACTCTCCTTGCCAACGGCACCACACCCGTCGTCTCCCTGCGCGCCCGCAACCTCCTATGAGGCCCCGCCGAGCTCAGAATACAAGCTGGACCGCCGGCCCGACCATGCGAGCCACGCCCTCCCTCGGCGTCACGCAACAAAGAGAATGGGGGAGGAAAAGAAGGCGACTCACGTGTTCGCCAAACTGGTTATCGTCCGTGTTTTTGACCTGTGAGAAAACAAAATTGAGCACGTCTGTTGGCGGAGGGAAGCCAAGGGGAATGCGTACTTTGTGAAAGTCATACTTGTTCAGTTGGCGAACGAAGGAGGCGAAGTTGGAGTGCTTGAACATGCGGGGGAGGATGGACTTTGTGAACTCGTTCATGTCTTTGACGACGAAGCAGTCCCCGTGGGGCCCCCATGCGACAACGTCGGCGAAAGACGAGTCTTCGAGCATCCTGGGGAAGCGGAAGTGTGGATTAGCGACCGAGGTGTGGTGAAAGGGGCATGTGCGTACTTGTACAATTTCTTTACAAAGTCTGATGTGGATGGCATGGCATCTTCGGGCTCATGCTTGACATGGGAGGAGAGGTGGTCGTGGGAGGAATCGCGGGCCATGTCGCGTTCAGGGAGGCGGGAGGAGGATTCGGACAGGCGACGGACAGAGGGAAGGTCGTCGCGCGACGATGAGGCGCGCTGATTTGACCAAGGCAGAGTTGCGGATGCGGAGAGGGACTGGCCCGAGAGCGGAGAGACGGTGGAGGAGAGGGACGGGTGGGTGTACGTCGGGGGCGGGTAGCGGGAGGAGGGGGGGAGTTGTGAGATGGGAGGGAGGACGTTGCTCCGGGGAAGGGAGCCGAGATGGAGCTGAGAAGGCGGAGGGAGGGTGGATGAGGGGAAGAGCTGGCGCTGGAGAGGCGGGTAGGAGGGCGAGTTGTCCATCTGTTATGAGGGGTAGGAGGTGGAGGACAAGCAGCGTCCGTCTTGAAGAGATCCGTTGCAGCAGCGTGCCCGTCCCAGCCACGGTCCCGTTCACCTCCCCGCGCCGAATCCGGCCCATATCGGCAGGTGGACCGGCCCGTTATGGCAGCGTCTCCCGCCATTTCTTTGTCGCGGGCTGAAAATTATGCTCGGCACACACGCGCGCCCGTCCAATTCCCGCTACCCCCAGCCTAAGACCCCCACCCTGGCGGGAGTCGCAAAGGTCCGTGGCCAGGCCGAGGCCGTCGTGGACGTTGAGTGCGGGATGGGGAACCGGGGCCTGGACCGCGGTCTGGGCCGTCGCAGTCTAACAATCAGGCACCGACGAACTCGAGCGAACTCCCGCCCTCCGCCGCCGTCGAGCGCCTGCAGACCGCCGAGAAATGAACGGCACGGCCTCGTGTCATCTCCGCCCGTTATCGATGCCCGGTTCCTCCCGACGCCCAGTTTTCGCTCATCCAACGCCCACGCGAAGGCGGACGGGCTCCAAAACGGACAGATCTTTCAAGACCATCGCTTGTCGTCCGTGGATCGTGGACGAACATCTGTCAGAACGCACCGAAGCGACAAAGTCGCAGAGAGCGCGCGACGACGGGCGGAGGGCGGCGGTCGATTGGGGCCCAGGCTGCGTCGGCGACAGGCCCAGGCGCGTGCCGACTACAAATGCGCTTTGGCGCCACAACGCCAGCTGCGCGCGCCTCACAAAGTCTGACCATGGTCGTTGAGGGTCGCTGTTCCTCGATGGCATTTCTTCCACGACCATCAAGCACTTTCGCTAACATCAACGACGCTATTGCCCATGACCAGTCCAGACCCCGCCACCGACTTCGCGTGGTTTCTTCGAACTTGTGCTTTGCCTTGAACTTGGACCTCAGTCAGCTGCCTCAGGCCCCTGCGAGATCGGCGGTAGTTGACTTCGGAATTCCTCACCCGTACCCCGCATTCTACCCGCGGTGCGCTCGGCTCGAATACTCTTGGATGACAGACAGGAGGCCTCGACCCGTTCCAGAACCGTCCACCCGCCCTCACCGCCCTCTCCCTTCCGGGGCGCCCCACGCTGCGTTCTCTCCATCGTTCGAAGCACGCACCCATACGTGACAGCCCAACCCGTGAACACGATCGCGACTCACGACGGGGGTATTGCGCGCGCAGCGGCACATCAGTTCGCGCGAACGACCGGACTCCGAATTCTGAGAGCGGCGTTGCTGCGTCGTCCGCAAGACGATGGCCTCAAACGTGTGCTGCTGCACAGGTAGGCGTGGCCAGGATGCTATTCCGGGAGTGAAATGCACGACGTCATCGACTTCGCCATCCATTTTTAAGAACACAACAGCACTATTGAGCTGTTTATACTCGCCTCACACCCACTCATCGCTGGCATATTTCGTCGCAGCTTCTCGACGCTACGCGACCAAACCACGCGGTCCGTGCGCAACCCTACTCAACATTCCCGCTTGCGAGCCGACGACCGTGGTTCAAACGTTCACGCTATGCACGCGTGAGTTCTCGGGGCCGCGACTGGTGCGGTGCGCCCACGATCATAACCTCCGTACGATTGCTGCTACATCTCCGACTCACTTCGGACCTGCGAGGTCTAGCCATTCGGCGTGCGTGCGTAGGTTCATCCCGTCCCTCGGCCTCTCGAGCACTGCAATACCTCCGTCCACCCAGGCCCGCGCGAACCACGCACATAGCCGAGTCAAGACACCGGTCCCGCGGAGCCTTGGATCGGGCCGGCGAACTCCACGGCGACCATGGATGGCGATCCTCAATCGCGTAGGCGGCTTATAAATATATCTTACTCTCTCAGTCCACATCGCTTCCACGGCCCGCACGGGGGCCCAGATGAGCCGGCCAAGAGACAAAGTCACACTGCAGGGCATCGACAAGACAGCCTCGACCGCGAGGAGGTCTAGGTCAGACAGTAGCGCGAACCCGCGACCGGGCTCCCCGAGCTCGCTCGGCATCTCCCATGCGCCACCCGTCTTCGCAACGTCGCGGAAGTGTGGCGAGCCCGTGACACCACCGACTCGACCGGCGCGCCCGTTGAGCGAGCTTCTTGCAGAGGATGAGCGTCGAGTCCAGTATACTTGCTGGGCGAGCAAGGCCGGTGTTTCGATCCCATCACGTCAAGCGGACGTGCGCAACTTCCGCACTGTTTTGTGGGTACTGCCTTCCCGTTCGACGAAGCGGCCACAAGAGTATGTCGCATGGAGATAGTACTGGCAGGGGTATTCATGCACCACACACCAACATACGGCGACATATGTATATGAATGCTGATTAAATCCTACTTTGACGGCGTCGGCGTCTCCCAACGAACCTCCACATAATATGTGCGCATACCTGGACCATCCGCGTGCCTACCATACACTTGCCGCTGAGATCTCAATCCCTTGTTATCCGGTATCGGCATCCACAAGTACCCAGTGTTCAGCACATGTTTCTCCGGCACAACGGCCGCTGTTCTCCGATCTAGCGCCCTGGAGTTCGCATCGCTCTTTCACCCCCTGCAGGGGAGGAACCAAATGGCAACCTCGCCAAACGCATGAAGCATGCCGTATTAAGCGCAGCGCATGAAGGCTACAATAACATAAGTAGTGATTGAGTCAAGGACTAATGACACGAAACCATCTATCTGAGTATTAACGACAGCGACGAGAGCAAGAGATGGAACACATCAGCTACCACAAAAAGCCAGAGTCATCCGCCATCCCACGAGCGCAAGACACAGTCCGGTCGAAGCCCTCCATGCATCTACACACCGCAAACTCATCTATGCGCGAGAGCCCCTCGACGCCGCGTTCCGTCTCCACACCCCCGCAGTGCACGCGCATCGCCCCTGGCGCCGCACGCGACACCGCAAGCGTCCCCCACACGACCTCGCACTCCCTCCCCCCGCTGAGGCGGACGTCCGTCACCTGCTCCATGTCCACCATATCCCCCACGACCGTCGCGGCGGCGGCGACGTCCGCCGCGCGCACCTCATCCAACGCGAGCACGAGCTTCGTCCGGCCGCCGCCCGCGCACACGCGCAGGCGTTCCCCGCGCACCTCGACTTCCACGCGCGTCGCGTCGCTCGTGAACGCACGGGTCAACGCCTTGCGCGTCGTGAGCCCGCGGAGCGCCCGGAGCGCGTACGCGCCCCGGATGCGCACGTCCATGTTCCCGTCCATGTCGTCGCCGGCCTTCGGGAGCACGAGGTGCTGGACGAGTCGCCGCATTTGGAGCATCGGTTGCCCGACGGCGAGGTCGAGCACACGCAGGCGCTTGAGCGGGAAGCGCGCGTCTTCGGGGACCGCCTGGGCGTAGGCGATGTACACGTCCTCGACGCCGAAGTGGGTGAGGGCGGTGCACTGCGCGAGGAAGGAGAGGAGGGGGGCGAGGGGCGTCGGCGGGCCGCGCGCGAGGCGGAAGTGGGTGAGGTGCGCGACGGGGACCGCGGGGGCCCAGCAGGTGTTGCTGAGCGCGAGGCGGCGGAGGTGCTGCGGCGCCCCGTCCGTCTCGTAAGGGCTGTCGTCCTGGATTAGTGTTCGGGGGACGCCGTCGCTTTCTTTGTGGAACAAGGAGGGGAATAGCCCAACCATTGGGCGTGAGAAATCGAGCGCCGGGCGGTTCTCGTCGAATGGGCGGCACGCCGTGGAGACGGAGAGCGACTCGAGGTGGGGGATCTTGAACGAGAACAAAGGCGCTCCGTGCTCGGGGACCGTCGCTCGTAGGGAGGGAGGGATGGAGAGCGCGAGGTGACGCACGCGACCTGCGACTGACTCGGTAAGGTGACCGGACACGCGATCAGAGGAAACGCGCGCTAGAAGTTGAAGCGGCATTTCCTGGGAGAGCGTCCCGAAGACATGGGCGGAGGGAGAGGGGAGGGAGAGGACGGTCCAGAGGGATGCGGTGGAGCGGGCGACGATGCGCCACCGTTGGCAGACGGAGGTGAGGGTGAGGCGGGCGCGGAGGTGCACATCTTGGGCACGCGAGGTTTCACTTTTGACACTGATATTAGGTGTGTGCGGTTCCAAGTCGTCGAGTGTGAACCAGAATATCGTGCTCAGGAGTTCCGGAGGGAGGGTGTGGATAGGGGCGTGGTCGTTCAGCTCGTTCTGGAGGAGGGAAAATATTCGCGAGATTGTCGTCGCGAGGTCGCGCAACTTTGTTGAAGTTAGATGGATGAACGACAAGCCAGGAGACCGCAAAAAGGACTTACAGCATCGGGCCTTCGTGAACAGAGTGCGATGAGGTGCCGATCAGTTGGAGAGAGAGAGGCTGAAGGAGAGGCGGACGTACTGGAGGTTATGGCGGACTCTCGACACCACATCCAGCAGGTTTCCCGCCAAGAGAGCTGGTTCCTCGGCGCGAACAAGGACCATGGAGGAGATAGAGCAGAGGGGGGAGGGGATGGGGACAGGGACCAGGGACGCACAGTTTTATGACCCGCGCGAGTGATCTAAGATCGAGAGTGAGGAGGCGTGAAGGTTCTGGCCGGCCAAAATGAGCAGGTGTTATGCTTGAGCGTAAATCTCTCGTTGGGCGACAGCGTTGCCGGATGTGGACGATCGAAACATGTCAGGCGCCCCCCTCCCCACGGCTCTCCGCCTTCCGCCCGTTACTCGACCTGATCCATGAGGGCGAGGGGCGACGGCTGCGAAACCGACTGACGTACTCCGGCTGATGCCACGTATTTCCCCCGGCCATATGAAGGCGGAGAGGACGCTGACTGCCCGCAACGAGACTTCGAAGGACATGCGCACCTGCAAGAACGGCAGCGAAAAGCCCTCCTGACCGGAATGAGTCACGAACACGGTCGCTCTGCGGCTTCGAGTTCCATATGTTGTCGTTCAGGAGCGGATCTCCGGATCGGGGTTCCGCGGCAGTACCTTGAGGATCAACGACGCCGTTTTACTTCCGCGCTCAGCAAGCATTCTCTGGGGGTGGGAGGACGGAAGACATCGATGAGCCAGGTGGAAGATAAGTATGGTCGATGGAAATGTGCGCACTGGGGCAGTGGGCGATCGTCCGAGCTCACAGAACTTCACACGCCCATGTGATGATGATCTCAAGGCACCATGAAGCGCGCGAGAGGTCACCCCACTGCGTTGCATGCGGCCGTCCTTCGTTAGCTTGATCATCGACCTGTTCTCCTCTACTGGGTCTTCTTCGTACACCATGGACCCGGGAGCAGCCCCCGCCGCGGCTGCCCCAGTAGCCGACTCTTTCCTCCGTTTCAACGCCTCCGCCATCCTCGTCAACAGCGGCAAGATCGCTAGGAAGCTGTATGACCTCCCTGCTCGCGCCGTCGCCAAACTGCGGCGGTTGGACAACATGGCCTTCGACCTGCAGGAGATTTCTCAGCAGCAGCAGCAGCAGCAGTCGCCTCCGCCTCTACGCATCGACGGAGGGTACGGGTACGGTTACCGGAGACAGAGGAGCATGGGTGACTCTGGAGCTCCGCCTATTCCCGGCCCGTGGGGTTTCCTCACCTCCGGCTATTTCATCGGGCTTTTCATCATGGTGAGCATTTACGGTGCCTGCATGCGCTTTTGGGTGGCTATATGCGCATTGTTCTTCTATTTGGTGTCGAGAACTGTCGGCCTGGACTGCACGCTCGGACTGCGCGAGGGGCCATTGTTGCCACACTCAGCAGTCCGCGCGTGTGGACTGGGCTCACACCTATGGTGGTTCGAAGTCAATGCATCTGGCCTTGTGTCGGATTCGGTGGTTGGAGAAATCCACTGAATGCCAGTCCAGGCCTTCCTCCTGAACCGGATCCAGAACATCGTTGTTCCCCCGCGGCGTCCTCTGGCGTTCCGCCTGCATCAAAGTCAACTAGACCACCAACGACGACACTCGCACTCGTGGTATCACATATTACTAGGCGCGTTCTTCCCGGTCGACTTTTCGTCCACCTTCTCTCGGACCGTTTTCCGCCTTCCATCAATATACTTGCTCGGCAAGGCTCTCCTCCTTTGGGCCGGCGTCCTTCTGCAAGTCCAAGAACCCTCGGCTTTCGAGCGTTTTGCTTGGATCAAGCCCCTCGAGGGATGGGTGATGGAGAAGAAGCTGGAGGATGTCTGCTGGTACACATTTCTATCCGCCTGCCTTGCGCTCTGCATCGGTACTCTTACTACCGGACTGGAAGGCCTCAACATCAACGATAGTGCCCCTTTCAATCTGGTACGCAGAACAAACGCCCCACTCGTTGGTCTTCACTTGACCTTCTGCAGTTCTCTTTCGCGTTCCAACTGTACGTAGAATCCGCCTCGCACGCGGAGCCCAAAGAAGGCGAAGACCTCCCCCGCCCTAATGTGCATGTGGCCGTGACCATTCTCCTCCCCCTCTTTCAACTCGCCGTCATGCACACACTCGAGATCAAGCCTCATTGGTCGCGCTTCCGGCTTGCATTCTCCAGCGCCACAAGTGCGCTCGCGCTCGCTCACTTCCACTACGTCCTTTGGCTCTCCGACAGCCCCTACCCTCTCACGACATACGCCGCGCGTGTCGTCGAATCCCTCATGCTGTCCGTGATCGCGCTCACGGTCACCCTCAACGCCCTCACCCAACTCCTCGCCGAAGGCGCCCTCACGCGCCCGCTCTTCGCACACGCCGCGCTCATGCCCCGCGCCGACGAAGACTTCACCGTCGCCCTCTTCCGCCTCGGCACTGCAAGCATGGAGGCGACCGCGGTCGCCGGACTCGGCAACGAAGTCGCCGCCGTCGCCAGCACGCACGCCTTCCCCTCTTCGCACCGCCGGCGCACCCCCTCGCCAGCACCGGGCCCGGACGATGGCGACGGCGAGCTCGAGATCGACCGCACGGGCGTGTCCGGGCTCGGCGCGCGCCGCGGATTCGCGCACGAGATCACTCGCGTGCGCGTCAAGGCCGCGAGCACCGACTTCTGGATGGACACTGTCCTGAACGTCGCGTGGCAGCGGCACTGCGGGACGTTCCTCGGGAGCGCGTGGCGCGCGATGCAGCGGGTCGTGCAGGCGGGGTGGGCGGGGGTGTGCGCGTGGGTCGGGCGGTGGTACGCGCGCGTACGTGGGTGGGACGAACACGAGGAGAAGGCGCGGTCGCCGAGCGTGGAGATCATCGCGCGGCCGCCGAACGTGCAGTGGAAGCAGGCGCGGACTCAATCGGAGGCACAAGGCGAGGCGCGCGCGAGGGGCGAGGAGGTGCACACGGATCTGTATGCGCGGTTCCTGCGGGGCGAGGAGGTGAGTGACGACGAGGAAGAGTTCGTGCCGGAAGACCGCGCGACTCCGGCGCCAGACGCACCCAGCGAGGGCGACTCCGACGATGGCGAAGGCGAGCGTTTCGAGTCTGCCTCGGAGCACGACGGCGACGATGAACTGGAACACGCGCGCCTGTACGCGGACCTCTCCACCTCGGCCGACATGGCCTCCGCACCACTCCTGCTCGCGCACATGATGGATGGATCTTCGACTCCGCTCACGCGGACCGCGTACCGAAGACTCGCCGCAGGGCCACCGCGCGACGCTGTGGATCCGATCGACGAGTGGGACGCGTTCGTGGACGTGCGTCGGGCGGAGAAGCGTGCGCGGATGCCGGAAGACGAGAACCCGCGGACATGCGTGATCTGCACCGTCGAGCCACGAGACATCATATGCTGGCCCTGCCGGTGAGTACGCCCTCTCGTTCTGGTGTCATCGCTTACGAGAAGTTGCAGGTGTCTGGCGTTGTGCGACGATTGTCGGGATAACCTCGCGTCGCGGTCTGCAGCGTCGAAGCATACATGCCCGTGTTGTCGTCGGAGGTGCGTCTTCCAGTTTCGCCTCTTCGAAGATGTGCTGAGACGTTTTGCCATACAGCGTTGAGGGGTACTCGAAGATCTACATTCCGTAGACTTACGCTTTGTGTTTGTATATTGTCCGGATGGATTGTGTATTATGCCGCCATTGGCATGCGAGATCTAGTCAGATTACGCCAGTCAAGCCCCGCTGACTCTTGGTTATATATCTCGACTTGGTGTGGCAGCGACTCTGATGGTCACCGGATCTGCTTCACTGTCAGTTTGTTCTGCGCCACCACCTCTTCCATCATCCGGAAGCACTCTGATGGTGAGATCCTGCATCGCCTTTAACATTTCATGGACAATACTCGCACGTGGTGCAGCGATGGTAGATTTTTCATATATGCTTATCGTCAGAGTCGGGCTTGCGTTTCCCTTTCCTCTGCTCCTGACTCCCCGGATAGTATGCGCTTTGCGGTTTTGACACCCTCCGCTTTGACGCTTTTTGCCTACCACGTGCAAGCCCAAATCAAGACCACCGCAACATGTTCCAGTGACTATGGCTGGGTACGTGTCCTACTTCCCCCATTGGGTATACCTCTAATCGTCCGTGTAGATGAATAACACCAAGGGTCAGAGCCCCTGCCTGGTAACTGCGTGGCTCTGGTCCCCTTGCATGCCCGGTACGTGCATATACATACCGCGTGATTTTCACCTCGTCTCATGCACCCCAAGACTCCTACCTCCCCGCGCTCGCAGTAAACGGCCTGTATGGGGGCATCACTGCGACAAATCTCTCGAACCTCTGCCAATGCAACACTGTCACGTACTCAACGATCGCCGCGTGTGGCATCTGCCAAGGACGCGGGAACGGTGCCGTTGGGTGAGTGCCCCCTCGTGTCACTCCCCGTCATCCAGCACGATGCGCAGCGCTGACGCGGACGTAGGTGGTCTGATTATCACAGGTTATGCACCAAGATCGCGCCCATCTCGCAGTACGTACTGCGTTGCCTGCGAAGGGCTCAAGGATGTCGACCCCGCCGCCGAGCAGATATCCTATGGACGTGCCGAGCGGGACTGAGATCCCTGTATGGGCGTTCCAGGATGTGACTGTGAGTATCGAGCCCCGTATTGTCTGCACGGCGAGATTCTTGATGTGCCCCAGGTGGAAGACGTGTTAGACGTAGGCGAGGCAAAGGCAGCCGCCGAGAGTGGCAAGTGCTCCTTATCGTGAGGCACTGTCCATTCCTGATGCGATCGATCCCCCCAGCGGCAGCGGCAGCTAGTTCGACAACAACCTCATCTTCGACGAGCACTACTACCGGCACCACGACCACCGGCAGTACCACGACCACCCATGACCATGTTGCTGCGATCGCAGGTGGGGTAGTAGGTGGAGTCCTGGGCGGGATATTCGTGGTTGGTATAGTTGTGTTCTGCTTCCGCCGTCGGCGTGCAGAAACAAGGGCCGTTGAGGTGGTAGAGTCGGATGAGAGTTCGCACTTGCCGACCCTCAAGGGCGACCCGACTGGGTTGTATCGCTATGTGCGTTTCACTTGAACGTTCACCTCGCCCGCGCTGCAGGACGCTGACTTGCCAGGATAGAACCCGGATGATCCGCGGACGTTTCCGCCGGAAGTGAGCGTTTAGCTTCCGTAGACTCAGGATAAAGGACGTGAGGTATTTCAAGTACTTCCGACTGTGCGCATTTCGGCGCTTACACGATCGACCTTCAGAACCTCGGTCTAGCAATATTGCGGCCTTCACTTGCTCAGTCGTACAAGATATCTGGGATTTTGGTGTAATAGGTCATAAGTCTTATTCTTCACTTCGGGGTTCTCATGGGCGTTATCGTGTCCGATCATCTCTGCGCATGTTCATCAACGTCCATTTCTCTCACCTTTTACTGTTTCCGTCTCTGAAAACTTCTGCCGCGCGACAGTACCACGTGTGTGGGATATGTCACGCTTGGCTTCTGAACACTAATTCTGACAGGCGGAGGCCTGCCGTGCCTGGCGATGCGGCTGTGTCATATAACTGTCTGGAAGGCGGATGGCCGCGCGCTCCTCTCATTGTTTCCCACCATCACCCACCCTCTTCCTCGACGTTCTTTCTGGACAACATGAAACTCGAAGCATTGGCTCTTTGTGCGCTCGCAGCGCTGTTGCGCCACGTTCGCGCGCAGGTCCATACCAACGCGACGTGCTCCAGTGATTTCGATTGGGTAAGTACTTTCCTCCACGAACAGCGCGCGCGACGAGAGCTGACGCCTCCCGTCACAGATGAAAAATTCCAAGGGCCAGAGCCCCTGCCTGGTCACCGCCTGGCTCTGGTCTCCCTGTTTCTTCCCCGGTGCGCAGCCTGCTCATTCGTACAGATTTGGATTGTGTGTCTCACGTGCACTGCAGAGTCCTTCGTCCCGGCACTCGCACCCGACGATCTTTACGGAGGCCCTGTATCTACTGCCGAGTCCGACCTCTGTGAATGCAATACGGTCGCATTCTCCACAGTCGCTGCGTGTGGCATATGCCAAGGGCGCGGGGATGGTGTCGTCCCGTGTGTTTATTACCATCCCTTCCCCGTCTCGAATGCTGACACGACCTTCCTCTTTCAGATGGTCTGCGTACGACAAGTTCTGCACTGAGACGGCAGCAGTGTCAACGTACGCAGAGCTCTGGTTGCAAGGGAGTGCTCATGATTCTTATGCGAAACGCAGATACCCGTACACAGTTCCCAGCGGGACTGAGATTCCGGCGTGGGCGTTTCAAGACGTGACGGTAAGTTCTAGAAGCCGCCTTTTTGCACTCCATCTTCTGACACGTGCTTGCCAGGAGAGCAATGTGTTCAACGTGACAAAGGCCAAGGCAGTCGCGGCTAGCGATGGTTGGTTTTACCTCTAGCCGCCGTCATCCCAGTGCGACAGGCTGACGCCGTTTTTGCAGCAGCAGTCCCAAACAGTGCTAGTACCGCGCCTACTTCCGCGACCAGCACAAGCAGCGGTGCAAGCACTGGTACAGTTTTGAGCAACACTTCGACAGCGCAAACGACGAACAGCTCCACGAGTGATGCCAGTACTGGCTCTCCTACCCCTCACCGGGACACCGCCGCGATCATTGGTGGCGTGTTGGGAGGGGTGCTGGGCGTCATCATCGTCGGTGGTCTGGCTGCTTTCGTCGTCCGGCGGCGGCGGAGGACTGGCGCCGCTGTACGCGAAACGGATGACGTGGGCACCAGCACAATGCATGAGACCCACTCGCCGGAGCTGAAGGGCGATCCAGCTGGGTTATATCGCTATGTGAGCTTCTTTCAAATGATCCTATGTGCGCGTTCAGACTGACAAGTTTCATCGATAGAACCCAGACGACCCGAGGACGTTCCCGCCGGAGCTGAGCGTGTAGCTCCGCGAATTTGGCAGATGGACTTAGTTTTCTCCTGAGGTGAGATGGACGTAGTGCGACGGGCATTGAGGATATGGGGAGGCGATTAACGGGATCCCATAACCGGGGGTGAACAGTTCTGTTGACTCGTGTCATACACGTTGTTGCCTCATCATCTTCGTTGTATGGTCCTCGGCCAACTGAGCATGCGTATCCTCGTGCGAGTCGCTTCTATCTCTCAAAGCGCCGAGAAGCCGCACAGATCCAGAGGGCATATCACGGTGAGAACACATCTGTACAACAAGGTTCTGATCACTAATGATCCTGGCAGTACCAATGTCAATGTCAAGTGAACGACATCAACAGGAGCTGATGGGTTACACGCCCAAGCTTCAAATGGTTGTCTCGAGCGAGCAAGTGTCCGTGCTTTCTCCCGCCCCCTCCCCGTTTGCTTTGGACGGAATGCGCCCCGCCGCGCTACTTCTCTCCACTCTCACACTCTTTTCATACTATACCCGCGCGCAGGTGCACACCAATGCCACATGTTCCAGCGAATTTGACTGGGTATTCTAATTTCTGCACGTCATATCCCTGCGCATTCTAATTAATCATATCTCCAGATGAACAACTCCAAAGGCCAGAGCCCATGCCTCATCACCGCCTGGCTCTGGTCCCCCTGCTTTTTCCCGGGTACGTGCGACCCATGTTTTCACGAAGCGACCCTCGCTCACTCCCTTTCCAGAATCCTTCGTGCCCGCCCTCGCTCCGGGCGGCCTCTACGGAGGCCCGATATCTACGTCGGAGTCTAACCTCTGCGAATGCAATACAGTTGCGTTTGCCACCATCGCTGCATGTGGCATATGCCAGGGGCGCGGGGACGGTGTCATCCCGTGCGCTGCTTACCTTACCTTCCCCGTCCCAACGTTGACGTGGATTTCCCCTTTCAGATGGTCTGCGTACGACAGATTCTGCACTGACACGGCGGCAGTGTCGAAGTGCGTGTGTTCACAAGGAGGTTCAGGAATTGGTACTAAATTAGATGCGTTTTGTAGATACCCGTTCAACGTTCCCAGTGGGACTGAAATACCCGCATGGGCGTTTCAGGATGTGACGGTAAGCATACACACGCGAACCTGGACAGAATTTGGTGTGTTGAACTACGTTTACGTAGGAGAACAACGCTCTGGACGTCGATGCGGCGAAGGCGGTCGCTGAGAGCGGTACGTGAGTTCAACTTTCATTTAAACGTTAGCGCAACTAAGAAGCACGTCGTTTCACAGTTGCGGCAGCGGGAAGTACTACCACCACCACACCTCCTCCAGCGTCTTCCTCTTCGGTGTCCCCAGCATCCGCTTCCGTGCAGCCGACGAGTCGACCTCCGCAGTCTTCGGCAGAAACTCCCGCCTCTCGGACCACTAGTTCATCAGGTACCAGCACCTCTTCCACCTCCCAAGGCCTACCCATCTCCGGGAACTCCTTCTCTTCCAAATCTACTATCGGGTCACAATTGCCATCCGCCATGAGTGGGCCCACCGCGGGGCCTAACTCTTCATCCACTTCAGCAACCTCCTCTACTGGTGGCCCCGTTGGCTCCGACTCCCCACCCTCCAACATCAGCGCGATCGTCGGGGGAGTCGTCGGTGGTACCGTGCTCCTCGTGGGGCTTTCCGTCGTCTTCTTCATCTTACGTCGCCGCCAGCGCGTCGGCAATGCGGCGCGCGCCGCGCTTGCAACCACCGCCACTGGACCGCAGAGCACAACGACAGAGTCGAGCTTCTGGGGCGTGCACTCGCCTACGCTGAAGAGCGACGACACCGGGCGGTACCTCTACGTGCGTCAAACCCCCCATATTCATCCATGTAAACGTGGCTTAAGCACACGCGCACGTGCAGAACCCGGACGACCCGAGGACGTTCCCACCGTCGGTGAGCGTCGGGTACAGCATACAGACGGGGTCGATGACGAGGGATTCGCGTGTGGACGAGGGTCCGCGGTTGACGAAGCCTATGCTTCCCGAGCTTCAGATCTAGTAGCGCGCTATCTTGGAGGGTGTATGCGGCGCTCTTTACAGCTCAGATGATCGTCTTGTCGCAAGTGGCGATGAGGAACCTATATATATATTCCTTCGGCTTCAAGTTTGTTCGAGCGCAGGTAGGTACTAGTCCAGATCGCTCGCCTTCTGATCCTCCAGCCCATGAGTGTGCGGGCTTTCTGGAATGCCGTGCGCACGTGCGTTTCTGTGTACACAGGGGCGGTGATGTAGTGCACTGGCAGTACGCAGCTGAACTGGATCTAACCGGGAGGCTGAAGCCACGTGTGTGTGACGCGCGTGTCTGACACTCCGTCACCTGTCACAACCATCGTAGTCACAGTCATTCAAATCGATCAACGCAGCCAAGTACATGGTGCTTGAACTTCACGCCCGCGACCTATTCTCACAGTACCCGTCTACAATGGAAGCCCAGACCTCGTCATATCATCCCCATTTGCGCCCGCACCCCGGTACCGTCGGAGTCGCTCAAGCGCAGATGCTAGCAAGGATTGCCAGCATGAGGGCCTCTCTTCAGCGAATCTGTAAGTTCTCATGCTTTGGCTGTGGCTGCGTGAAGGGAAGGTCATGGAAACTCGTAGGACATTGCACTCTTCTCAGTCAGAGCGTTGCTGGTTCTCCATCGATTGTACTCGCGTCCTTACAGGGTCAGCAGTCAAGCAACCGCTTTGGTGAGTTATCTTCATTTTGTACGGACGGCGTGTGCTCACGCCGCCGGAAGGATCTAATCCACGCACGCATCCCTCTGCTCCGCATCCATCGCAGTCGGCGGGATGTTCCTTCATGGGCCTGGTCTCGCACTTCATCCCCGTCCCCTTCATCGTCCCAAATATCTACGCCATGGCAGCTTCAAGTAGTGGATACCGCCACCCTTGTTCACCTTGGCCCGGGAGTACAAGATGCTGAAGAACCACCGAGCGGACTTTCGATATCGTCGCTGCGTGGAAATGATCGACCGCGGGGAGAAGTCTTACGGATGGGCGGAGCCGGTCGGGGGCTTTGGTGAAGAGCGTCGGAGGAAGGCGAATCGGAAGGTCGTTATGCGCCGAGTTCGTAAGTCTCATAACGCTGTTCGCTGTGCCATCGGAGGTTCATGCTGTCCAAAGGATCTGCACGCCAAACCGACAAGAATCGTCCCACCTCGCAGTCGAGCAATTTAACGACGGCCCCGCGACATAGACGACCGCTTTCTCATCCTCGGCGTCTCGTGGAACCGGGGGCCGCCTTGAGGTGTTTTCAGCACTCGGCCGTGAACTGAAACTACCACATCGCGCCCGAGTATGACTGAACAGGAGCTATTCTGCGGCGGCTCCCCGCATCTCGGTCAGTTCGTACGCAGCACTTCTCCCGGGTTATTTTCTGACGAAGTCATCCTCGAGTAGTACATGCGTATATACACTGCCGGACCCCTTCAAGCCTTCATCACTCGCGCACTCTCCGCCATGACCAAACTCATCGCCGTCTGCGATGCAACAGGAAACCAACGTACGTCGTCATATGCGTCTATGCCTATCACTTGCACTCAATCGCCATCTACTAGGGGGCGCCGTCGCTAAACTACTCGTCCAACATCCGTCCGAGTACAGCGTCAGCACTCTCACGCGCGATCACGTTCACCGGCTGCCCAAGCTCTGACTGCGCTCGAACAGGTCTCCGCCGCGCTGGCTGGATGCTGGGGCGTCTTCGGGGTCACCAATTTCTACGATACGAAGATTAAGGACGACCCGGGGAGCGAGGAGCGGCAGGGGAAGAACCTTGTCGATGCCGCGCTCGAGCACGGGCTGGAGTGCTTCGTGTGGAGCACGCTGCCCAGCTCCGATAAGCCCTCGGGTGGCCGGTTTGTGTCTCGTATCTATGAAGGTACGGCAGTTAGCCTGACAGACTGTCGATGATGCTGATGAGAGCATCAGGGAAGCACCGGGTCGATGATTATATGTGCAAGACGGGACGGCCGGGGACATTCATATACACGGGCAACTTCTACGAGAACATGATCTTCCGCTTGTACGTCAAGTACGACGAAGGGCAAGACCGCGTGGAGTTCACTCAGGCGATCATTAACGAGGACACCAAGCGTGCGTTAGCTGTCATTTTTATTCTTGTCCCTGACGAAGCCCTGGCGTTGCAGTTGCCATGCTCTATGTGCAGAAAGACCTCTCGGCGGTTACGAAAGCTGTTTTCGACAATTGGGATACACACCGAGGGGTGTTGAACCATCAGTATCTGTACGCCACCGACGCCCGCTCGAGATTGTGGAGAACATCAAGCGGCGTAAGCTCTGACTCGTCCTTGCACGGAATCTGCTCTGACACGATTTACAGTGACGGGCAAGAACACGTCCTACCGCACTCTCGAATCGACTGGGGTCCCGGACCGTGACATCATGTTCCGATTGTACAATGAGGTGGGCATGTACGGCGACAAGGCGCTCCTGGACGAGAACGTGACCTGGGTTGGAGTGACAACGCACGGGATCGACGAGCCCCTCATCTCGGTCTGCGTCTGCTGTGATCTACGCTTATGTAAATGCATCTCATCACCGATACATACCGTCCCAGATGGTGTCGTCGAGCACCGGTGGACGTACTGTAGCCTCTTTCACCGCCGCACCCTTCAACATGTGTACTTCCAGCTGTGGAAGCTCGCGTTGCATCCGCTCCACCCATCCCTGCGCCGTCCTCGGACAGTGCAAGACGATTCTCTCCACCCCAGCCAGCCGTCCTCCGAGGCACAGCTGCTCCAAGAAGGCTCTCTTCACCACCCAGATCTCCAGCTTGGCCAGTCGCAACGGTTCCCGGCGTGCCGCCTCCTTCGCCTGCGGATCTCCCCCGATGACCTCTCCGAGGTCCCTGACCGCCGCCGCGACGGCCTCGGGGGTCCTCTGGCGCCAGTAGGCCACGTACACCGACTTGAGCCTCCCTACGCCTCCGCGCGCGCGGCGCACGCCGTCCACCAAGAACACCATCGCCGTGTGCACCCGGGCGGTCGCGCGCAGGGCGACAGACTCGAGCTGCGTCCAGGGGATAAGTGCCTGAACCTCCCGCTCGGCGGCTTCCCTCGTCTGCGTGGTGAAGTGGTACCGCTGGAGCCAACGCCGGGTGCCACGGGCGTCCGCCTGGGCTCCCGCGAGCGCGGCGGTGACCGCGTCGGCGCCGTAGTCGAGCACGAAGGTGACGTCGTCGGCGCCATAGTCGAGCGCGAGCCCCGTCGGATTCCCGACGGAGGCGAACCAGTCCGGGACGGCGTGGCAGTCCTCGAGCGTCACGGCCGTCGAGGCGGGGATCGAGAGCAGCCGAAGGAAGGAGTCGGAGTTGCGAGCGAAGAGCGTTTCAAGACGAGGGAGGTGGATCGGGGGTAGCGCGGCTCCTTCTGAGTGGCTCCTTTCACGGACGGAAAAACTGAGCTCCTTGAGCGTAGAGGCGCAGGCGGAGAGGGCCGTCCGAATGTCTGTGCCGGACAGGTCGTCCACGCGTTGTAAGTGGAGACGTGTGAGGGCCCCGCACGAGAGCGCAGGAATGGATCTAGCCCCGATTATAACGATGGTATGCAGCTTCGGGGGTCTCGTAGGGAAAAAGTCGTTGGGGAGTTTACAGACAGTAGTGCTGAGAGACTCGAGATTGAGGAAACTTGAGCCTTGCTTGAAACGCTGATGGTCGTGCCTCCAGAAGGTGCAGACGATGGATAGGTTGCGGACACGAGGGGCGTACTCCAACATCGCAGGGTCGAGATCGAGATCGAGATCGTCGCACAGTCGGAGGTCGAGCGGGGTCTGCTGGGAACGGTGCAGGAATGCTTCCCTCATCTCTTCGTGCGAATTCTGGTGGCGATTCCAGTCGATGGTTGACCACAGCGACCCCGTGCTGAGCGCGACAATGCGCCAGCGGCTGCAGACCGCACAGAGTCGCACACATTCGCGCATGGAATGCAGGTGGGGGGAGTTCGAGATTCTTATTCCCAGGCGTGGGTGATGGAAATACACTTCTTTCCTTGATGGCATTTTCTTCCTTTTCTCCTCCACAGAGATTTGAAATATGATGGCGAGGATTTCGGCGGGGAGGCAGTGGATAGGGGTCGGGATCTGAGTGTGCTCTTGAGCCACGTTTTCCGCCTGAAAATGTTTTGAGTCACAGATAAAACCACACTTTTTCACGTATTCCCACGTACGTATGCTTCGTCTCTGTGGAGTGGAGCTACAATGAGCTAGAGCAAGCATGAAATAATAGGTGTGTAGCGTGCCTTTGGGGAGGATGGGATGGCTCCGGGAATGCGGCGTCCGGTTGGGGACCATATTCCATTTGCAAAAGCTCAAGCCAGACATGATCTTGTGTGTCTTCTGCAAGTCCCGTCATACGGTGCATCGTGGTCGGGCTCGGCTGGGGATAGGCAGGTGTAGTCTCCCAGAAGGGCAGATGCACCTCCTATTCAGAGTCAGAGCCGCGACTCGGAGCTCCGGCGCGGCATCTCCGAGGCCGGTGGTTGCCGTTGAATGACGTATCCGTTCTCCGCCATGGTCTAAGTAGCTTAAGTACCCGCGCTCAGGCTCACTTGTCATGGATTGTCTACCCACAAACACGCACTACACTCGCGTCTCGATGGCACTGCTGCCTCGTACGACTTTCCGTCGCGGCCTCGGCCGTCAAAATGTCGATTCAGATGCACCCTGGAGTTGGAAACTACCATCGTAGCTCGTTCAATACAGAACTCGGGCACCCCGTCGTCAGGCCTTTAGGAACGGGTCGCGCGAGTCGTCATGGATGAAAACAGGGCCACGTGTGTTCTAACGATCACACGCGAGCTCTTCGTTTCCATCAGTGGTACACACTATCGTCCCTCATCGCCTTGTCCAGCGCCGGTAGGTTGACTTCCAACAGCGCCCGACCCTTCAGCGCACGAACCTCTAACTGCGGCAGCTGCTCGCGCATCTGCTCCACCCACGCCTCCTCCGTCCTCGGGCAATGGAGGATGATCCGCTCCAACCCCTGCACCCGCCCCCGGAGCTCTAGCTGCTCCAGAAACACCCTCTTTTCCACCCAGAGCTCCAGTGAGGTCAGCCCCAACGGCGCGCGCGCGATCTCCTCGCTCGCCTGCGGGTCTCCGCCGACGACCTTCCCCAGCGTCCTCACCGCGGCCTCCATGAGCTCGGGCCGCTTCCCGGGCCGCTTCGCGATGACGCGCAGCGACGCGATTTTGCCGCCGCGCGCGAGAGCGAGGCAGTTCGCGACGAAGAGCACCGTCGTGTGGACGCGCGCGCCGGCGCGCAGGGTGACCGCGACGAGCTGTTTCCAGGGGATGAAGTTCTTGAGCTTCTCTAGGACGTCCCAGAACTGCTCGGACCTGTTGTCGGGGCAGCGAGAGTACCGGAGGGAGAGCCGTGCGTGGGTCTCCGGGGCCCCGGCGAGGACGACGGCGACCTTCAAGGGGCTGAAGTCTAGCTAGAGTGTCGTCCACTGTGGGGTGTACGTGGAGGGGAGAAAGCCATTCAACCGGGCATAGAAGTTTTCGTCGCTGACGTGCACGGCTGCGGATGAGGGGAAGTGGAGGCAAGTGATGGTGAAAGCGTGAAGCGTGTAACCGTCAATGAAGAGCTGTTGGAGGCAGGGGAGTCGCACAATGTATAGGTCGGCCCACTTGTAGGTATTCATAGCGAAGTGACGAAGTGTTAAGCTCCTCAGTGTAGGACCGCAGGTCCTGAGAAGGCGCAAGAAGTGGGGCATCCAAACTTTGCGCATGCTTGACAGGGATAGA